GATTTCTCGCTTTCTTTCTCTATGTCTCTCTCTGTCTGTCTGGTGAGCGCACGCGCCCTATAGCGAAAATCTCTCCAAAAAAAAAAAAAAAGATCCCAAGAGGAGAATGGAGGAAAAGGGATTGTGGCATGGCCATCCCCCCTGGGGGGTGATTTCTCGCTTTCTGTCTGTCTGTCTCTGTCTGGCGAGCGCACGCGTCCTGTAGCAAAAAAAAACCTCTCCCAAAAAAAAGATGATCTTATTCATAAAATTCTTACTGTGTTTAGTGTTATTTCCTTAATAAATGAAATTGTTGGGCCAGTAAATACGAACATGTTAAAAGCTCAATACTTACTACCATATTGCATTTCAAACGGATTATATCAATTTATATAGAATGTTGTATTTTTATTTGTAAATGTTGTATTTTTATTTTTACTGCCTTTTTAGGTTTCTAGTGATCAGCCTTTACTGAAAGAAAGATCTAAAAGTGGCCAAAAACGGGCACCTGAAGAGGAGCCAACCTCAGTCTCTGAATATTTCTTCAGTGATATCTTCATTGAAGTGGATGAAACATAATAAAACAATCTTTTTTTACTGTTTTTTTAATTCTGGGATTTCCAGAGTCAATTATATCAACAAAGCAGTATTTATGTATATTTTTTTAAAAAAATCAGTAGTTATCTTTAGGTCGATTTTGAATATTTAATGAGCTTGATTTGAAGTTTTGTTGTGTTTTTGTTTTTGTTTTAGAGACAGGGTCTCGCTATGTGCCCAGGCTTGTCTCGAACTCGCAGTCCTCCTGCCTCAACTTCCTGAGTCACTGGGACTACAGCTATGTGCCATCACACCCAGCTGATTTGAAGCTTTTGTAATCAGTGGAAAACATTTACTGAGATTCCTTTCATCTGATTGATTCAGCATTTTGGAACTACCAAGCAATTAAGACTGCTTTCTCTGACAGAAATAGCAACTCTTGTTTACATTTTGACTCTTCCTAGGGTGAGCACACATGGACATTTGAGAATGTTGTAGATAAATGTTTCTGTATAAATCACAGTGCGGATGTTTTTGGGGGTTGATTGTATTTAATATTTAGTGAACTTCTTTTGTGAAGTTTTTTTGTTTTGTTTTGTTTTGTTTTGTTTTGTTTTGTTTTGTTTCTTGATAGGAGGCGGGGTGATGAAGGCCTTTTCAGTTGCCTCTAAGTAGGCAAAAGCAAATTGTCTAACTCCACTTTAGTATGGTAAATGTTATAAACTTTTCTATTATCAGCTCTTTGGCTGACTGAAAATATGTATTTTTCTAATTCATGGTGATATAACATTAGTCCTAATTGAAGAATTAGTATTTAAACTTATTATTTATAAAAAGGACACATCAAAGAGCTTATTTATTTTTAAATTTTTTTATTTAAAAGGATATTCAGTTTTAATTATTTTCACTCCTCAGATTGTGGGTAAAGAAGGCATTAACAAACTTATGTTTGTCTCCTTTTCCTCTTTAATTTTAAATATGTTTAAAATGATATAACTAAAAGTGTTTGAGTAGTGTATATGTTTTGAATACTTTTTTCCTCATAGTTTAGTATATTGACTTACTATGAATTTAAAAACATTTTTTTTTGATAACCTCAGGATTTTCATGGAGGGAAAACTCAACTTCACTTATGATACAAAATTCCAAATAAAACTCAATCTTGGGACCAGCAAGTGGCGTAATGGTTATATTGCTGGACTCCCACATAGCCAACCACGGTTCGAGTGCTGACCCGGAGTCTTAAACTCATGCTGGGTGCGTGTGCGTGTGTGCCCAAGATCCCAAGAGGAGAATGAAGGAGAAGGGATTGCAGCATGGCCATCCCCTTGCGGGCTGATTTCTTGCTTTCTATCTCTGTTTCTCTGGTGAGAACATGCACTCTATAACAAAAATCTCTTAAAAAAAAAAATCCCTAATCTCCTTTACATACACTTATCTCCTTTAAAAAAGAAAAATTCTTGATATTCCTTTCCCATTAATGTCTGCTCAAGGAACACTTAAATCTTTAAGCACAGAACATAATTGTGATCTTAAAAAGAAAAGATAAGACATTATAAAGTTAGTAATTATCAATGTTAATTAAGGGTTTTTAATTTTGAGATTTGACAATTTATATATATATTTTTTCTATCCAAGTAGATCTTTAGTGGCTGAAATGAAACATCTTGAAGAGCATATGTATTCTGATTTTATTTGAAAACCAAACTGGGTTAATAATACATTGACTTAGGAGTTGATAACCTTTTCTGCAAAATAGTTTGGGGTTTAAAGTTTAGGTAGTTTCTGGGGCAGCTACTCAGCTCTGCCAATTCAGAATGAAAACAGCCACTGACTAATTGAATGAAACGCCATGTCTGGGTTGATCTTTTAGTTTAACCGCCTATATTAGACAGTCATTTTCTCACCTGAAAGTACTGATATTTGTGTGTATAAATTATTTTTCATTGAAATTATGCTTTGTACCTAAAAGTTAAAACTGTTGATTCCTTTATGAAATGATCAGTAATTCAATTGGGAAGATATTTTAAAGTCTAGATAATTGTGTTTGTATACTGAAAAAATGGTGACCAGTTTTCAAGTTCCTTAGTAAAAGATATGGCTTAACAAGTAAACAATAATGCTAATTTATTGCAACTATTGCTATTAGAGCATTTTTATTCATTGTCTTCTAGTGAAATTCACAGTTTAACTTCTTTATCACAGAGGAGATCTATAAATCTGAGTGGGAATTTTCTATAAGTATGTGTTTATTTCATATGATTAATATGTCATAAGAATCATGGTAGTAAATTACATTGCTATTTTAATACCCTGTTTTGTAAAATTTTTTAAATCTCATAATCTGAAATTTTTTTTATTTTAGTGTTAATTTTGGTGGTAGATTGCAATGACTGAGCTATGATTTATTTTTTTAACTTTGTTAAATTAACATCATCTCTTGTTCATTTATAATAAACTGATTTTATGGAAGATGTAATTTCTTACTATATAAAGAATCCAGGGGCATTCATTTTATTAGAGAATCAAGTTGGCCAGCTAAATTATATTACTGATATATCCTTAAAACTAATCTTGGGGGGAAAAAAAGAGAAACAATCAGTGTATTTATCTTACAAGGTGGAAGGAGGTATGTGAAGTCTGATTCATGTAAAGAACGTTGCAAAGAATTTGTTATTTTTTAAATCTTAAAGGAGATCTGATTAAGGGTCTTAACTTTTCCTGACATTTCCTTCTGAACACTTGAGTCTTAGCAGGTGATCAACATGATGGTGTAAAAGCTTAATTGTTAATAAATGATTGAGGCACAGTTGAAAGTATTAATATCCACTGATTACCACCATGTTATTTGAAATAGAAGTGACCTGTATATTATCTCGTTTGAAGAAGTTTTTGACAAAAAAAAGCAATATCTGTCATTTGTAAATTTTCTTGTTCTAAAGAAAGCAGTTATGTTCTATAGATATAAATTATGTAAATAAAAGTTATTTTATACTATTCTTGTTGTGTTCTTTTTTTCAAACAAAAGATTTTATATTCATTCAGCTAACCAAAACTATTACTACTTTTTCAACTCTGCTTACTTCTTTCCTTCCTAGAAATATTGTGTAACTAGAAGAATTCATCTTTATTCTTATATGCTTGCTGTGAATATAGGATAGATTTTCTTCTATATTTGGGATATGCAATGCATTGCTTTTTATTCTTCATTTAATGGAGTTTTAGATATAAGAATCTGACCTCTCTTACTTTTTTTTTTCCTTCCGCCTTTGTTTTCTCTGTAGAGAAAGACAAATGAGAAATGTGTCCCACATATATTGGATCATCAGAAAAGTCATGACGTACTTTTCTGTGTTTTTTTTTATGCAAAAATGTGTCATGATTTTTCTGAAGACCCAATAATCTAAACTTAGACTTCTGAAGTGAAAAATCTCAATTGGCAAAAAGTACTAGCTGAGAGAAATATAAGTGGAAACTGTACCACAGGGTAGGCTAGCCATTTCTCCAGATACACAAAAATCTTCTCTTAGATTTTGTTAGACTGTCAGAGCTGCCTGCCTGGGCTGCATTCTATGGTTTGCTCGTGTTTAGGGATAGTGTGAAATAGTACTAAAGCTTAAGAAAATTATTTTTATTAACAATAATATAGGCTTTATTTACTGTATCATCCAATATCCTATTTAGGAGATCTTATAGGAGATAATTCTCTTCAGTCCTATAGGTCTTTTTTCTCTTTTTGGTCATATGGGTTCTGTGAATCCTCATGTTGTTTTCTTTGCAATACAAAACCGAATTTGGAGTTCACATGTGGCAAGATGTCACACATATATACTAAACTCACTCTGATTTTATTTATGTACGTTTTCCTCCTGCCTGGATTTTTAAAATAAGCTACCATGTATATAATATTAGGTGCTGTGTTAATAACCTCTTCGTATGTGTTTTGTTTTTGTTTTTATACATGGTTTTAAAAGATAAGCAGTGCTGAAAGACTTCAAATAAAAAGCTGGTTCTTCTGGGAGTACATATTTTTAAATATTGTTATCTCTTATTTACAAAATTTAAACACTAACTGACTTTTTTGCAATGGCACATAAGAATTTTAGCTTTCTTACAACCCTTCCCTCCTGCTTTCTTTCAATATGTCACAGTCTACAAGCTGGGGTTAACCCATATTCAGAATTTTCATTGTATTATAATTATTCACTGCTGCACCCCATGATGATATTTCCTTTCAGGTATAAATTTTGTTTTTCTTCAAGTTAATCATTGTCTTACTTTTTCATTTTCTCTAGGGTTCATTTAACTTTTCACACCATTCTAACAAGTCTAAAAATGCCTCTGCTTTTAATTGTCAACATAGTCATAATGTCAGATAAGCTGTCTCTTTTTTGATTTCTGTTTTAAGTGTGCTATAAGATGCATATGCTTATGGAAAGAGGGAAGGGAAGTGAGAAATTACTTTGGCCCCCCTACAGTTCCCTCTCCCCCGTTCTCGGGATGTGAGATATGAGCACATACACATCTGGTATGTCTTTCAAGTCCCTGGATCCGGAACTTGAACTGTGCAGTTGGCCATGTGGGATCCAGTCACCTTAACCACCACAGTACCTCACCGACTTCCATTCTTTTTTTTTTTTTTTTAACCTATTTTTATGTTTCTTTCATGGGCAAGAAAGAGAGAGACAGTATCCCCAACAAGATCTTGATGCCATGATGTCCCCTACAGCCTTTAGCCAGCCCAGAATATGGGCATGTGCATGCCTGCAGTACTCAGGGAGGTCTTCAGACTTGAACTAGGAACTTTTCCTATGTAGGATTGCCTCATGGAGCATCTTTGTTTCTTACTGCTATGCCACTGTCTGCCCCGAGCTGTCCCATTTTTTTTTTCCTGAAAAACTTGGAGTTCTTGCTTCTTGCTTTAACATGAACTAGTGGTTTCATAGGTCTCCACATGTGATGTAGCTGTCATCCTGGGACTTTCCATTGCCATTTGCCTGTGAATTTCTTAATTCTTTTCCTGGTTTGGATTCTGTTTCTGGAGCCCATGTCTTTGTCTTCCTTATTTGTTTTGTTTCGAAGGTTCACATCTGCTCAGTTACTGCAAGAATGCAGGGATGATAAAATTACTTGAGATTTTACATGTTTGAAAGTTTCTTTGTTCGACTCGCACAGTTGCACTGTGAGTAGATTTCCTGAGTAATTTGAAAATAATTTTCACTTAATTTCAAAGGTGTGCTCTTCCAGTGTTCAGTGATTAGAAGTTTGGTGCCATCCGATCCTTTGACTGGGTCCTGCTACTTACCTATCTTTTGACCCTGGTTTTCTGTACTATCATGGACCTTGGTGAAAGCCACCTCCTCTTTCCCACCCCCACGTTCATCCTACTTTTTGCTTCATGAACTTTTTCAGTACGGAAATTTATTTCACTCCCTTCTGGAATGTTTTACTGTATTAATGCTTTGATCACTTTCACCTTTTTTTTTTTTTAAATCTAGAATTCCTATTAATTAGCTTATGGACTTCCTTTACTGATTTTCAGTTATTTTATCTCTGCTGTTTTCTATTCCAATCTGTCTTTCTGTTTTCTCCCTCTTCTCTCCTCTTCCTTTTTGCTGTTTTTTGTTTGTTTTTGGTTTTTGCACTTTTTTAGCAGGAGAGGGAATATTTTCTCAATATTGACTTTTTTTTTGAGAAGTTTTTGCTATAGTGTGTGTGCACTCACCTGAAAGACACAGAGAGACAGAAAGTGAGAAATCACCCACTGAGGGGATAGTCATTCCTCAGTCCCTTCTCCATTCTCCTCGGGATCTTGGGCACTCACACACACGCGCCTGGCATGAATTTAAGCCAGCAGGTCCAGGACTCAAAACACGGGTTGACTACATGGGAGTCCAGCGACGTAGCCATTACGCCATCTGCTGGTCCCCAATGTTGACTTTTATTAACGAATTGGAAGTCCCCATGGCTTTTAAAAT